TTTTGATGGTATCCGGTCGCGGAGAAGGAGGTTTCGAATGTAGGAAGACATTTTTGTTACCCGCTTTTACATTTGAGGCTTCTGTCTTTGAGTCAAAACTCGGACTCATTCTGCTTGTTGTTCTGCTACATAATGGTTGTAAACTTGTCGTGCCCAGAACATACCACTAATTACCGTCCTAGCTGCCGTTCATGGCATCCCACCTACAATCTTTTCTTCTGATCGATCTCATTGTTTGGTTTTTAATTTGCAAAGGGGACGTTTTTTCAAGAAGAACCGGATACCCTTTCCTAAAGTGTACGCAGTCACAGAATTGTCGTCTTCATATAGATTTGGTCGATGTTTATCACTCTGTGCTCATGATAGATTCGGCAATGACATTACAAGGCGTGCTAATCTGTAGAATGTTGGTATAGGAATCTAAGGCTACGGAGTTGAAAGCACTCGCATTCTATTAAACAAATACTTAAAACCCAGATTTACTCTCCCATACTCCGTGCTCTTCCCTGACAGGCCTGCCAGTACGATCCCTTTTTGGATGATGCTCTAGAACTTGCTAAACGCGCAAAGAAGTTGGGAGTGTCGGTGGAGTTGCATGTGGCAAGTGGGATGCCACACGCCTTTCTGAACTTCAGTTTCCTCAACGCCGACTATCGTCGTGCTACTATGCACTGCAGCGACATGATTGCACGGCTCTTCCGTGGCGAGGTCTAATATCTTAGTCGGACAAAAGCGGTTTTATCAAATCATTTCGGTGATTGACCGATTTGCCCGTTTCTATTGCTTCTTCAGCCAAGATTATTTGATTTCATTATTTCTTTTTTACGCCTATACACTCACTCACCTCACTTGTTTTTTGCTTCTCTGGAAGGGAAATTAAAAGTGCTGAATGTAGAACCTTGTCTACCGGTCAATTACCAGGATCCCGTTTCAAAGTAAACTTATGCTAACGCGAAATTCTTAAAATCTTACATGATCTTATCTTAAGTGCACAATTATCTCTTGTGGATGTCAATTCCGAGTGTTTTGAGTTTGCGTCTTAATGGGGGC